TGTTTTTCCTTCAGTCTTATAACGCTCAATTGATACAGAAGGTTCAGAGGCCAGCGCATGACTGTGTTCGTTTTTTGGGGGCTAAATTTTAAAATTCCATTTCGGATTTGAAATACCCTGCCAACATACGCGTGTAAGCATCGGATTATAATGCGTTCTCGATAAAAACGCATGAATTCCAATTTCAGGTCCGTCAGGTTGGCAACATACAACGATATTCGGTGCAGTGTGTTTTGGTCATTAATATGTTTAATGAAAAAATCTTTATCTTCCTTTGGTTTTGGTACTTCTTTCTTGTCCTTTGCACTATTCTATCATTCCTCTATTGGCTTACCGTTCTGACTGTCCCGTGTTTCGGTCGCTGGTTCATTTCACAAAGTCTTGAATTATCCGAAATGAAATTTGATCCAGACAGTAAGTTATTTTAGATTTTTTCAAATTTTTTTGAGAAGTTTTGTTGTTAATTCAGCATCTAGAGAAGTTAGGAATCTAAAAATTTTGGAGCACATGCATATGTAACTTTCTTACTTTAATAGCATCCTTTGCATATGCTTGGATCCCACGTACAGAAGCTGAAAAGAAACCATGTGATTTTTTTGGTGAAAACGATTTCGGGAACTAGACAAGATAGGAAGCTGAAATTTCCAGGGGGCGTTCTGTGTGCTTATGTGAGCTAAAGATTTCAAATTCAGCAGTCGTGCATACCTATGAAATTGGGATGCTCTTGGCAAAATGCAGATTCGGGAATTCAGCTGATTTGACCGCTTTAATTTCACGAGAATATTTATTTTTCACACACTGGCGCGTAGGCTTTAAATTGACTTTGACGTACAGCTGTGTCTTGCCTTCGGACAAATTAAAGATATTTGTAATGAAAAGTAATTTCGCAAATCTGTCAGGCGAGGAAGCCGAAATTTTATAAAGGTGTTCTATGCTCACTTGCGGCTTAATTGTTGCAAATTCTGTCTCTTTGAGCAAAAGCAAAAGAAGTGGACCGTTTTGTGAGAAGCTATTTGCGTTACGATGGTCTGTTCGTGTTGAGAATGGTTGAAATCCATGCCGGGATAATATTCGGAACCGATCTTGTGGTATCGCTTTGGAACGCTTTTTATGAAATCGAAGAAAAGGTAATTATCGTTGATACTGCCCCAGCAGGCAGCTAATTCCTAGAATAGTTCATCGTTTCTCAAAAAGTATGAAAAGTCACTAGGATGGATGACTTACGAATGATACAAAAAATGAATCAGAGGATACATTTTCATGCCCT